CTCTGGCTTATTCTGGCTGTAGCGTTGGGTTCACCAGAGAGACGGTGAATGACGAGGACACGTTCGTCATGAAGGAAATCCCCAGCTGGATCCCAGCAGCTCGTCGAGAGCTCCAGGACTTCTTGGCGAAGAAAGGTGAACCTGAAGAGGAGACGAGAAGAGAGGAGGAGGAGGAGGAGGAGGAGAGGAGGAGGAGGAGGAGGAGGAGGAGCGGGGGAAGGAAGTGGTGGTGTTGGTGGAGGAGGTGGAGGAGGAAGATACAGGAGCACGAGGAGGAGCTGAAGGGGGTGAGCAGGTGATCTCACGCGACTTGTCGATCCTCGAACCATCCGCCCTGAATTCATCTACGACAGAAACCGAGTGAGACTTGTCCTCCTCTCCCTCCTCCTGCCTTTTCCTCACCCTCATCTTCATCCTCCTGCCTCCTCCTCCTCCTCCTCCTCCTCCTCCTCCTCCTCCTCCTCCTCCTCCCCGCTTTACTCTTCGCTCTGCTGCTTGTCCCCCAGCTCACTCCCAGCAGGAGCAGGGCTCGAGATTCGTCCGCATCCTCAACGTGCGGACCAACCACTATCAGGTGCATCTCCCGCGACCTCCCTGAAGGAACGAGAGGAAGAGAAGTCAGGAGGAGGAGGATAAGTCAAGACTGAGGAGGAGCCGGCCGGGCCCTCACTGCCGGGCCTCAGCGGCCCGGAGAGTCCGACGGTCACCCATGATACCGACCGCTCAACTTAGTCGAGCCTGAGGACTTCGATTGCGGGGAGTCCGACTGAGTAAACCCGGCGGCTCTTCTTCTGAGTTCCCATCGCCTCTACTACCGAGCGGCCCGGCCCTGCCGCCCTATCAATCCGCTTCCGAACTTCATAATCATCCGGACCCGGGGCCCGGACCCGCCGCGGCGGTCACCTGCCCGGCCCGGCCGCAAAACTGAAAGGCAACCTGGCAAGCTGAACTCAAAACCTGACGAGGTCTCCCAGCTTTCTGGTACACACAATTCCCTCATCAATTTCTCCTTTCCTCCCTCCACTCCCTTCCTCCCCCTCCCTGCGTCTACCTTACCATCCTCCATCTCCCTCGCCTTACTTCTCTCACTGTGTCTACGTCTCCTCCTCCCCTTCATCCCCTGCCATGACGGTGAGGGTTCGCTTCGCGCCATCACCTACTGGTTTGCTTCACCTGGGAGGGCTGCGGACGGCTCTCTACAACTTTCTCTTCGCGCGCAAGCATGGCGGTCGTTTCATCCTCCGCATTGAAGACACGGACACAGCACGGACTGTCCCTGGCTCAGCCTCCCTCCTCCTCCGTATGCTACAAGATGCCGGCATAGGCCCCGACGAGGGGTACGGAGTAGGCGGCGATCACGGTCCCTACGTGCAGTCAGAGAGGAAGGAGCTTTATGCAGCAGCAGCAGCAAGACTGGAGCAGGCAGGGTTGGCGTACCGCTGCAGCTATGACGATGCGGAGGTGGAGAGGTACCGGAAGGAAGAGGAAGCGCGCGTTGGCAGCTTCGTCTTCCGGAGGCGAGCAGCTGAGGATCTCCTGGGAGGAGCAGGAAGAAGAGGAGGAGGAGTGATCCGGCTAGATGCTGAGCGAGCGCTGCAGCAGCTGGGAGAGGCTGAGGTGGAGGACCTGGTGCGAGGGCGAGTTGTGATCCCCAAGCAAGGTGGATGATGCCATCCTCGTCAAGTCTGACGGGCTGCCGACTTATCACCTGGCAAGCGTGGTGGACGACCAGAACATGGGCATCTCGCACGTCATCCGAGGCGAGGAGTGGCTCTCCTCCGCTCCCAAGCACATCCTCCTCCACAGGGCCCTTGGACACCCTCCCCCTCCATTCGCTCACCTGCCCCTCCTGCTCAACCCTGACGGCGGGAAACTCTCCAAGAGGTCGAGGCGAGGAGAGCTCCTGCAGTCTGATGCTCCTGCAGGCACGAGCATGGGACCGTTGAGAGTTTCGTGCGCCAGGGCTTCGAGATGAAGGCGGTGAGGGAGAGGAGGAGGGAGAGGCTTTATCGTTGACCCTCAGCAGATCTTGAGCTACACGGCGAGCATGGGCTTCACTCCCTCCAAGGAGATCATGACTGTCAAGGAACTGATAGAAGAGTTCGATCTATCCAAGGTGAGGAAAAGAAGAGGAGGAGCAGGTGGACTAGGGGCATGAGCAGGAGCAGCAGGAGAAGGAAGGGAGGGGTTTGCAAAGTAAGAACCTGAGGTTGTTGCAGGTACACAAGCATGGGACGCGAGTAGACATCGGCAAGTTCAGCTCCATCCAGACGTCGGTGCTGCGGGGGATGTGCCAGGACTCGGAGGGCAGGAGAGGCTTGTGGCTCGAGCTCGGTCCTCGCCTGCGCGAGCTCGTCAAGGTCTCGGGCCAGCCGATCCTCGCCGACCGGGTGGAGGACGACAAGTACTTCGAGGAGGTGGTGAAGACGGTGGTGGAGCGAGTCGAGCGGAGGAGCGAGATACTGTCGCAATTTCTCTACTTCTGGACAGACCCTGATCCTGAGGTGCCGATGCTTCCACTCCCTCTCCTTGCTCCCTCTCCTACCATCCTCCCTCCTCTCTCTCATCCTCTTCTACCCTCCTCCTCCTCCTCCTCCTCCCCCTCCTCAGAATCCGCCTCATTATCTTCAGGCCCTCGCTTCTCATACGGCAGCCGAGGCTCGCGAGCAAGTCATCGCACACCTAGAGAACTTCGAGCAGGAGCTGCAGAAGCAAGCCGAGAGGAGGGAAGGAGGAGGACTGGACGTGCTGATAGAGGAAGCGAGGAAGGCAGCGAAGGCAGCAGGAGCGAAGGCTATGAGCAAGGGAGCGATGATGAAATTTGTTCGCCTCGCACTGACAGGAAAGGACGGCGGCCCGTCCCTCACTGGTGACTCCTCCTCCTAGCTCCCCTCCCCCTCTTCTCCTCCGCATCTTCTCCTCCGCATCTTCTCACGTTCTTCTTCAGACATCTTCGCTCTGCTTGGGCCTCCTGTCAGTCTTCGTCGCGTCAGCTCCTCCCTCAAGTTCCTCCGCGCTCCTGCTGCTCCCTCTAGCTAACGCCCTCCTCCCCATCCCCTCCTCGTCCTCATTTCCACCACCCTTTCCACTACCTTTCATGGTCAGCTAGATAGATATAAAGTAGCTACAATGCAGAGCAAGAGAGACGCAGGAGGGTCCATGGGCTACTGGACAGTAGTATTCACTATGAAGGAAGGCGATGCTGAGAGCGAGAGGTGCGGACAAGCGATCACGAGCTTCTCCTCTCCTCCTGACCTCCGCTCGCCCCCCTCCCTGACTTTTTGCTCTCAGGCTGGGAGTTGACCCGCAGACATTGAAGAGGGAGGAAGCAGAAAGAAGAAAGGAGCAGGATGAAGGAGCGTGAGGGAGCAAAGAGGAGGGAGGAGCCGCCTGGCCCTTCTTGTCCTCTACGGGTCTCCTTGAGGACTCGAGGGTTTCTCGATGACGTAGTACACTCGCTCGCCTCCTCCTCCAAGTGGCTTCACAACCTGAACTCTCCTGCTCCACCCTCAGCCCTGCACCCCTCCGTCCTCCTCACCTCTCCGACCCCGAGCCGCCGCCTGCCTCCTTCTCTTCCTCCTCCCCTGCTACACAAGACGAGGATCAGGAGGAGGAGGAGGAGGACAGAGGACCTGCCTGCAGGCAGATGTGGCTGGAAGTAGAAGCCATCCGTCCGCAGTCCAGCAGGCAGACCAGGAAGGCTGCTCCCCTCACCTGCAGCTCGTCAGCGTCGCAGCAAAGAAGCTCCTCCTCGCCCACTGCTGATGAGCGACATGAGCGGACGTCTCGTCATCTTGATGAAGCGGCCTCGCTCGTCCATGTCCTGCCCTCCCCTTGTCAGACCAGCTGGCCGCGAGGGAACGCGGAGGAGAGGAGGAGGAGAGGAGGAGGAGGTTGACCTGCCCGAGGACGAGGTGCTGGGGGAGGGCGACATGGTCGTCCTGGTTCTGAGTCAGACTTGTCTCTAGGAGCACAGGACCCTCACCTCCACGTCCACGTACGTCTGTCGGGCTCTGCTCCTGCTCTTCTTCTCCTTCACCTTCTCTGCCTTCCGCTCCCTCGCGCCCCCGCTATCCTCCGCCTCCACCGCTGCGACCCTCTGCACGGATCTACCCGCACCCATCCCACCAGCTCCACCCGTCAGAGGCAGAGAAGTAGCTCGTGACTTGCTGCCTTCCTCTCCATCAGGAGACCTCCGCCTGCATGTTGTTGCTCGCTCCTCGCCTGACGCCCAGTCAGTGGAACAGCACCTCCTTATTCCCGTTCCCACTCCTCTCTCCTCCTCTCTCCTCCTCTCTCCTCCTCTCTCCTCCTCTCTCCTCCTCTCTCCTCCTCTCTCCTCCCATCTTTCCCTTCTCCCCCCTCCTGCCCTCACCTGCCTCATCCCTCCATTCTATCGGGTGCCTCTTCGTACCGGTGGTTTGAAAGGGAAATGGTATGGGAGGGGTAGGTGGTCGGTCGGTTGGTGAACAGCAGTACAGGTGACTGAGTGAAGATGAGGACGAGAAGGAGGAAGAGGAAGAGGAAGAGGAAGAGGAAGAGTATGATCACGGTCACTGCGACAGACGTCGAGATGCTCTTGCGACCTCACTGTTCAAGTCTCGTCACCAGACTTCCTCCGACAAGTCCATGAGAGAGTCACGATAGAGACCAAGACTGCGAGCACAGCAAGACTTTCTTCGAGGACATCCTTTCGCTCCATGTAATTTCGCTGATCTGAAACATGACAAGACATACTTGAAGGCTTTACAGCAGGCACGATAGATTATCTCACACTTTCATACGCAAATTTGATCTACGAGGGGAGAGGAAGCAACGAGTGAGCGATCAATCAACACACCATGTAAGGAGGGCCATCATCTCACGAGATCCTCAACCATGAACTTTCAAGATGCGCACAAGCTTCATGGCGACTCAGGTGTCACTCTTCTTCATCTTCTCGCCAATTCCTCTCGTCCTAGCGATTTTCCGAGGCAGACAATATTTTTCGTTACGTTGGCGGCAAAAGCCTCCATCTCGATCTCATCAGGGCTCAAATGTTTTCCAGCCATCTTCTCGATGTCGCGTTTCAGAAATCTTCGCTGCTCTCTTCTTCTCGACTTGTTAAACTGACATTCGATGATCCTGTGAGGCAGATGTCGGCAATCTTGCAGGCTCAAATTGTACACTCGCTCGATGACAAACTCTCCTACAGTCTCAGACATGTAACAATCTTTGCAAAGCCTGCTGCCAAACCCCTCGAACACAACCTCAACTGATTTGTCGAAGCGCTTCGCCACACACATGGTACAACCAGCAAAGGAGTACAAGGATAGAAGGCACATGTCTGTAAGCGGGGGCGGGTTTACCCACTGCAGTCCATTCCAATTCAACTTCATTCGTTTGATCATCTTGCAATGAGATGCTCGGCATGCGTCCAGGCGAGACTTGACAGTTTCAGAGCACTGGGTGTCGTCCTGAATCGCTTTGTTGATGCTTTTGCATGAGAGATTGAGGAGAACAATATGTCGATTAGTGAGGTTCCTGATGATCTCAGCCAGATCGATGAAGCCCCAAGCAAAGATAGAACTTCTTCTTATGTCGCTTGCCATCTTCGTACATCTGTACATGTCACTTGTGTCGCTCCCATCCTCGCCCTCCATCATAAATTTTCGCTGTACTACCCACCATGTTTGTGACTGTCACATTCTTGAGGAAGGGAGGGGTGTTTGGGGTCGACTGCTTGCTGGGAAGCGGCCCACTACCCCTGGTGGGCCTTTGCAGTACATAGGTGGGGTGGGGGTATCTGGAAAGATTAAAATCTGAGGCGGACCGGTTAGGGATAAACCTCCGAGGCGGACTTGGTAAGTCCCCCACCCCCACCCCCTGGCACATCCTGCCGTTGATGCGCCTGCCGTCAATCTTTTACCCCTGAGTTTCTACCCCTACCCACCTTATCTCCCGTTCGTACCCCCCCTCTTCTATTACGGGTACTATCGAACAGCCTTGGACCCCCATCCGTCAAAATGCAGCGAAATGCGACAGGGAGAGCAGAGCAGAGCAGAGCAGAGCAGAGCAGAGCAGAGCAGAGCAGAGCAGAGCAGAGCAGAGCAGAGCAGAGCAGAGCAGAGCAGAGCAGAGCAGAGCCTTCATAGAGGAGGAGAGAGCAGGAAAGAGGCTCGGAGACGAGAAAAGGAGAGCAGGAGGGGGAGGGCATCTGATAGTCTTTTGTTAGTCTTTGTTAGTCTCTTGGGTGTCATCCTCACGCCATTCGCTCGCAGGTCTGCTACATGTCCTGCTACTCGTTTCTTGCAGCGCCAGCGCATGGCACGAGGAGGACGAGAACGAGGAATGGAGGGAGGAAATATCGACGAGGGATGAAACCGACGACGTCTGCCAGGAAGAACTCGTCGAGCATGACTGGGTTCTGGTCGACCAGCATGAGTTCTGGCAGGGAATTCGCAAGTCAAGAGTTCAGCATAGTCGCTGACCTCGTGCTCGTGGAGAGATGCAACAAGAGCGATCTCACCAAAGAGGAAGCAGGTACGAAGAAGAGGGGGGAGCAGGAGGTGGGGATGGTGGTGAGGGAACGGGAGAGGAGGAGAGGAGGAGAGGGAGGAGGAGGAGGAGGAGGAGGAGGAGGAGGAGGAGGAGGAGGAGGAGGAGGAGGAGGAGGAGCTCACAGCATTGCCAGACTCATTGGACATCTTTGAAGAAGCGCTGAAGATGCTATTTCCGGCTGCGAAGGCGCGAAGTGACAAAAATTCCCTACGAGGAAGGGAGGAGGCGAGCTGGATGCTTGATGCAGAGTCAAGCTCGAGGACGAGGGGAATGGAGGGGGGGCGAGAGGGGGTGATAGTGATAGGAGCTAGTGGGGGAGGGGGAGGGAGGGGGAAGGAAAAGGGAGACGGAGACGGAGAGGGAGGGGAAGAGAGTTCGAGGGGGGTGCAGAGTAAGGGAGAGGGACAGGGGAGGAAAATGAAGCTGTTAGAGGACGAGCAGGCAGTGAGGAAGGGTTTCAGAGATGCGCAGAGAAATATCCTCAAGCTGATAGAGGAAAGACAATTTTATTAAACGTGTTGAAACTTGATCTCCGTCTGCCGAAGCTTTTACCTCCTCCTCCTCCTCGGTTTGTTCCTTGACTTGGTTTGCTGGGGTCAGAGGGCTTGCGGGTGGTCGGGGGTGGAAGGAGTGAGCGGCCCTTTTGCCGGAAGAACTTCTGCAAACAAGTAAGAAGAGGAAAGGGGGGGGGGAGGAGAAATTCTAGGAGCGGGGGAGAAGAAGTGAAGGAGGATCGAGGAGAAAAGGAAAGAAGCAGGATGGAAGGAGGGACAGGCGAGCTCGTTACCAGAGTGCTCGAGCGACGAAGGTTGGAAACTCTTGGTGGGCGAGAGCGAGCAGGAGGGAAGGAAGGGAGAGGAGGAGAGGAAGCGCGAGGAGAAATCGATGCCTTCCCGGCTCTCAGCGAAAGAATCTTCGTCGTCGGATGCTGTCCGAGCATCTGAGGTGACGAAGCAGCTGCGAGTGACCATGAGAGGAGGAGGAGGAGGAGGAGGCAGAGCTGCGCCTGTAAATCACCTGGTGGTTGACGAGCGAGGACGTGAAGGAATCTGCTCGCAGGCCTTCTCCTCCTCCTCCTCCACCTCCTCCTCCTCAAGGTAAACTTTAATCCTTGTAGCTTCTTCAGGACGGGTGACTTGTGCAGCCACTTGTCGGTGAGCAGCAGCTCGTCGATGGTTCGAACCTGCCAGGAGAAGAGGCAATGGCGCATCTTCCTCCTCCTCTCCCTCTCCTCCATCATCCTCAAGCCAGTCCTCAGCTGGAAGAGCTCCGACGCGACCTTGCTCCAAGCCGCGAAGAAGCAGCAGAGGAGGAGGAAAGTCCGTCGACCCTGCGAGAGGAGCGAGCAGGCAGCTGCTTCTCTGCCCCACTGAGGGAGCGAAGCATGCGAGACATGAAGCTCCTCCTCGTCCTCCTCTGTCTTCAACGTCATATGCTCCTTGAGATGCTTCTGCCTGGCTCCTCCTCCTCCTTTGCCATTCTCCTTCAGCCGCGTCCTCGTCACAGAAGCTTTCTGCTTCCCTCCTCTCGCCTCCTCCTCGCCGCCCGCTTGTCCCTGCAGACTTTCTCTCGCTCTTGTCGGCTCTCTGTGTCGCTCCTTCCTGACCTCCTCCTCTCCTAACGCCCTGAAGTGACTGACTACATTCTCGAAGCAAGCAAGCACACACTCGGCAAAGACAAGCAAGGAGTCAATCCTCTCCTCCTCCTTCTGCTTCTCCTGCTCCTGCTGCTCCTGCTGCTCCTGCTCCTGCTGCCCCTCTCCATCTTCTCTGTTCTCTTTCTTTGTCTCTGCCTTCTCACCTCTTACTTCCTCCTCCACCTCCTCCTGGCATCCTTGACTTCCTTGACTTGCGTCTTGCGCAGCCGCAAGCGCTCGGATCGCGTACTCCAAGACTTTTCTGCGTCGCCGACCAGCCAAGGTGCTCAGACGCCTCCTCAACCTCGCGACATGACGAGCAGCGAACGCGAACTGAGCGAACGACGAGGAGACGAGGCGACGCAGAGCACGCGAGCTCGCGACGGAGAGGCAGAAAGCAGCTCTTCTCCAGCTGGACAAGATAAGCTGCTGCGTCTTCCTGCTGCTCTGCTCCAACAGCCTCACAAGTTGGTCTGCCCATATCACTCGCTCTCCTCCTCCTCCTCCTCCCCTCGTAGCTCGTCGCATTCTTGTCCATTCTCTCTTCATCGCCAGCAGTCGCCTTCTCTCCAACGACAACTGAGTTTGCTCCTTCCACACGATGAACTGGTCCTTGCCCTCCTCCCTCCACCTTCGCTCTCTCAGCCTCTCACTCCTTCCTTGAGCTGCTGCTGCTGCCCCCACTGCCTCCCACCAGAGACAGAGGAGGGAGGAGAGGAGAAGGCGCTCTCTTCTCCCGACTTTGCCCTCCACCAAGGCTCTTGCTCGTCTCATGCGCCTACAGGAGGAGGCGAAGCTGAGCAGCAACTTTCTGCTTCCTCTCATCAGCCATTTTCGCACTGTCAGCTGCACCAGCCTCTGCCGCGTCTCCTGCCCCCTCACCTCCTCCTCCCTCATCTTCTCCCCCAACGCCTCCGCCACCTGCATCGTTTGCGTCCGGCAAAACCTCTGCATCCTCCCCAGCATCTTCCACTCCCGCATTGCCTCCTCCAGCCTCTCCAACCGCTGAGCCGTCGCCTCCTGCTTCACCCTCCATCTCCCCGCGCCCCATTCCATCCAGACCCACAGCGCTCTCTCCTGACATGCCCTCGCTTGTCCCTCCCTCACTCGCTGCACCACCTGCCTCCTCCTTCTCCTCCTCCCCGTCTCCTCCTCAAAACAGTACAAGATTCTTCTTTCCGCCCATCGTCGCTGGCGAGAGAGGAGCATCGCGTTGCCTCGCCTGCTGGTTCGCTGGTGGCACAGGACGTGAAACAGCTCGTGCAACACCAGCCGCTTCCATCTCCTGCTCTCTCTCCTCGTCATCAGCATCCTCGCCCTTGAGATCATGCTTGCCGCCTCCTCCTGCTCCCCTTGGCTCTCAACGCACTTCCTTGTGCTCCAGCAGTTGGCGGTGACTTCCCCCAGCAAGTCAGGATCAGCCGCGTCCTCCGCATCCTCATCCTCGTCTGCCTCGCTGCTTCAAACTTCTTCCGCTCCATCCAACCTGTCAGAGCTGATAGCGAGCGCTCGAGCATCCGTCGCTCTTGACCTTGACGTCTTCTTCGTGCCTGCACCATGGTCATCCTCGAGCACCTCCTCTTCTTTACTTACCCCCTTCCTCTGCTGCTTCCTTCTATTCCACTCCTCCAACGCCTTCCGTACGCATCGCACTCTCCTCTGCTCCTCTTTTCCTCTTGCGTTTCTCGCTCTTCTCCTCCTCTTCATCGCCCCCTCCCACATTCGCACGGACCACAGCAGTCTCCTCCTCCTCCCTCCTCTCGTCACCGCTGTCATTCGCCTACTCATCATCTTCTGCTTCCGCGTGAAACAGCAGAGCATCTCCCACGCTCTTGCTCTTGTTCTTCTCCGCCTCTCCGCCTCCAGTCTCATCATCACCAACTTCTCCTGCCTCTCCAGCTCTGCCGCCAACCTCCATCTCCTGCAGATCCTCCGATGGAGGCGATCGAGGGCCAAAGCTTCTTTCCTCTTCCTCCTCCCCTTCTCCTCCTTGAGACTCCACCAGCACACGAGGCATCGCACACACAGCACTCTCCTTCTCCTCCGTGAGATTTTTCTCGCGCACAGCCCAAGGAAGTCGCTCCTCCTCCTCGCTGCCCCCCAAGTGCTGAGGGCCTGAAGCTTCCAGCGAGACTCGACCTTCACCTGCCCCCGCAACTTCGTCAGCATGCGACCAGAGCCATGCACGAACATGGCGGAGAGAGCTGGTGCAGGAAGCAGAGGGAAGGAGGAGGGCGAGGAGGGTGAAGACAAGGAGAGGGAGGAGACCTCTTTGAGCAGGACTTGGACGGAGGTCGCCCAATCCTTCTCCATCTTCTTCAGCTCTTGTTCCATGGCTGCCTGCTCATGCATTTTGTGCCAGCTCCTCAAGCACTCCCGCACTTCTCCCTCCTCATCCTCCCGCTGCCGTCGTTTCAGCAAGCGATTCAATGCTTTCAGTAGCGTGGCTCGCTGCTGCTGCTGCTGCTGCTGATGTTCCTGCTGCTCTGCCTCGTCCTTGCCGAGATGTCTGAGTTCGACCGCATACCGTCCGGCCCGCTTCTCTGCCGAGAACCTGGCAGCCTCCAGGATGTGTCGGAGCTGAAAGCCGAAGGCCTCCTGTTCCTTTAACGCTTCCTTGAGCGAGCTGACTGACTCGCTATTTGCGCTCTCCTCAACTTCTTGTATGGCTGCCCAGACATTCCCAAAGTCCCATACTCCCTCCTCCCTCCTCCCTCGCACCCTCGTAACACATTCTGGTCTCCTCAGCTTCTCTGCTCTGCTCAGCTTTGAGGGAGGGACTGGCTCCATATCCTTCATTCTCTTGCCAACAGTCCGAACCTGCTCAAACTATTGTAGTCAGACCCTCATCCTTCCTGCACTGTTACACCGACAAACTCACTCCCAGGCCTCCCTTTCCCTCTCCCTCCCTCCCTGATTGACTGGTCGTTCACACATGACTTCCAGATAGCGCCAGCCGACCTTTCGTGGGTAGCGTCTGTGCCAGTGCACAGAACCTGTACAAGGACAGGCACGCCTTGCTGTCGGATCA